GACAAGTGAGATAAGCCAGGTACCATTTTCTGAAGTTTTGACAAACTGGGATGTCCTAACCGTTTATGTAATAAATCTGGTGAATCAGTAACGGGAGAAGTTATTGGAGGAAGACAAGATGCGAGTCCATGTAATTTTGCAAGGATAAGGTAATAAAGTCCATCTGATTCACGTCTGGTACCAATGATCCGCCTTGTACTGCGTTCCTGTATAAAAACAAGGTCATCAAGAAATAAAACAACAGATTTAAGTGATTTGGCTAAGCGACTGACGGCTATGAGATTAAAAGGACTACCAGGAACATAAAGAACTGAGTCTAAAGGTAAGGAAAACAGCTATGAGATTAAAAGGACTACCAGGAACATAAAAAACTGAGTCTAAAGGTAAGGAAGGAAGTGGACTTGCTTGACCTATTGCAGTTGCCATGGCTTGAGACCCATTGGCCATTGTGACTGTCGGAAGAGATTGAGAATATGAGATACTAGTGAAAAGAGATTTGTTGCCAGAAATATGATCAGATGCACCTGAATCAATGGCCCAAGACTCAGAAGGTGAAGATTGGGAGACACAATTCATGCTACTATTCGTTGGAACAACGGAGGCTAATCCTGAAGATGTCTATTTACGTGCTTTGTACTGAAGGAACTCAATATAATCCGGTAAAGAAACCATCTGGATTGGATTTAATGCATTCGATCCAACGAATTGTGAGTCTAAGAATGACATTATAATGTTCACGCCGGAAAAGGTCAGAAAATTATTTGGAAATCACAGTTTGACTGTTACTGTTCACCTGAAACACTGTAGCTCGCCGAAAAATAAAAAAGTCGTCGGAATCTAATGTAAACTTGATGGGTAGGCTCGGAAAGGCCACGCGAAGAGGCTGCCTGAAGAAAAAAAATTGAAATCTGGCCGGGAAAAGGCCACACGCGCCGGCGCGTGGAGAAAGACTCGCCGGAAAAACAGAGCTCCGATCCGTGCGTGACGGCGCGTGAGTGGTCGGCTGCCGGAGACCTTTGGTGGGGTTTGGTCGCCTAAGTCCTCGGAACCCTGTGGTGGTGTTGGTTTTTGCACAACACCAACGGAAAGTGATTTTGGTTACGGACAACCTCTTAAGTCGCCGGAAAATTGCACGACACGAGGTCTTTCTTCCCGGAAGTTGCTGGAATGACGCACAACAATAATTTTCTCACTTAAGCTTTGATACCATGTGAGAAAGCATGGGAGAAAATATATTATTGATTAATTAATTGACAATGCTACAATGAGCCCTATATATACAATACATGTCCTACTCCTAATACATATGGGATTAGGGTTATTTACTACTATTTATACAATGAAACTAACAGTATCAAAACAGGAAAAGGTCATGTGTTCGAGTTGTACCCCACCCATTTTCGCAGAGAATTTTCACATGCTAGGCCCATGAAAGAAAAAAATCAAGCCATACGTGAAGGGGCGTGTTGAGAACATAATTAAGTATATAAAAATGTGCTCTCTTTAATAGCTTAAACTTTTAGATGAGATGATCACATACTCCAACATGGTACTAGAGCAAGCAGAGGTCCAGGATTCAAATCTCACCGCTACCCTTCACCAAAACAAATTTCACTTGCTTGGCCCATCAAAAAGATCAGGCCCGCACATGAGAAGGCATGTTGAAGATATAATTAAGTAAATAAAAGAATGCTATGTCTAATAGCTTAAACTTTTTGATAAGATGGTCACACCGTTCAACAAATGGCAAAGAGAATCAGTAAAATCAAGTACTGAGGAGGAAATACAATTTCTGTCCAAATGCTGTATGACTGCTGCACAAGTTTCTCAGGGGTTTCAGGTTTGGCAGCAAATGTAAACAAGAGCTCTATCTACTTTAGTGGAGTGAGTCACGGGGTACAACAGGAGATACTGAATTTCTTGTGCTTTTCTAGAGGTCAACCCCCTTTCAGGTACCTGGGAGTGCCACTGAGTACCAAGAGGATTTCTATTATGCAATGCCAACCACTATTGGAGAAGATGCTGGGTAGAACCAATTCTTGGACTT